TGGTTAGGACATGGCTGTTACTAGAGGGCAGAAGAAAAGGTTCCAGCCCCACTGAGGAAGGGGTAGGTGGTGTTGGTGGAGCCTTATGTGACTTTACAGCCGCCCTTCCTCTCTTCAGTTATTTTTGGTCTCTGTGACCCAAGGTTTCCTGTTAGTGGGAACAGAAAAGTGTTATCATCACAGAAATTAATGCCAGGAGTCCAACAACCCATTCCCCGTCTCTTTTCCGTTGGCCCTTGAACCTCTCAGAAATCCAGCCATCTCGATTTGGGGAGCTGCGTTAACGGTGGCACTCCTTCGAGTTATTTTGAATTTTATAACCTGTCCTCTGGAACCCCACGCGGGCCGGGCATTCCTCAAAAACAAGTGAGTGCTTGCCTCTCCAGAACCAGTTTGCCCACCACCAGTCCTTACGTGCGGGTTTTGGTGCTGAAATGCGGACGACTCGGCCCACACAGTGAGCAGGGGACCGCGGCATCCCCGCGGTAGGTCCCTGCATCACGTGTGGCTGTATCCAGTCAGTCTCTTCAGGACCCTCCTTACGCATGCGCCCCACTCACTGCGGGTCCGGAACAATGCTCTAAGTCCCGCCCAAGCCTTCTGGCCCCACCCCCTGCTCAGGAGTCCTGCGTCCTCGTTGGCTAGCTAGGGACTGGATGTTGGCCCGCTTGGCCAGGTGTAGACATCCCCAAAGATAATTCATACCCAGGCCGGTGCGCGTCTCCATTTCCACCTCCTGGTCCCTAATCGAACGTTTGGGGGCCCGCCGCTAACGAACTGACCCTTTCCTGGACCCTCAGCTGCAGGCCAGCCGGGCTGCGCCTCCGTGCGCTTGTGACCGAGGCTAGCACGGGCCTGGTCCCCCCCTCCCCCGCCTCACTAAGACCGTACCCCTTGGGAAAAGGCGCAGGCGCCTCACGCCGCCTGATCTGTACCTTTCTCTTTAGCCGATTTTGCACCCCACCCCGCGTTTGGTTCCGAGCCTCCCAGCAGGGTGGGCATACACTGGTGGAAGTCTAGAGCCCGGCTCCTGCAGGGGTTGGCTCTTAGTGGCGGCAGCCCTGTTCCTACCCAGATGGCTCGCGGGGCCGAGCCCCCCGATGGGGGCTGGGGATGGATGGTGGTGCTCTCAGCCTTCTTCCAGTCGGCACTGGTGTTCGGGGTGCTTCGCTCCTTCGGAGTCTTCTTCGTGGAGTTTGTGGCGGCGTTTGAGGAGCAGGCAGCGCGCGTCTCCTGGATCGCCTCCATTGGAATCGCGGTGCAGCAGTTTGGGAGTGAGTGCTGCGCCTGGTCCGGTGTCCTGTGACCCTCACCCTCGAAAGAGAAAGGGGATACAGGAACCGAAAGGGGAAGGAGAAGGGGTGTGGAGGCTACTAGGGAGGGACGCCTGAGTCCTCACAGAACCCTTTCCCCTTCCCCAGGCCCCATAGGCAGTGCCCTGAGCACGAAGTTCGGGCCCAGGCCTGTGGTGATGACGGGGGGCATCTTGGCCTCGCTGGGTATGCTGCTCGCTTCATTTGCTACCTCCTTGACCCACCTATACCTGAGTATTGGACTGCTCTCAGGTGAGACCCTGGGCAAGGACAGGAGAGTCATATACTTGGGTCTTTGGCCACTGGATTTTCACCTTTTTCTTGCTCCTTCCAAAAAGTTTAGGGAAAATGTTGAGGGAATGTTTGAGTAGCACCTGTGCCCTGAAGGGAATTCTTAAGAGAATGACTAAGTTGGTAAACCTGGTGGGGAAATTAGGAAAGTCAAAGATAATGAATCCAAGAATGTATGTGCAAAGCCCAAGGCTAGAGGGACTGGAGAATTTCTGTAAAATTGTGCTGGGTATTGTGACTGAAATGAATATCATTAGCCTATGTACAAAGAAAGACTTTCAAAGCTTACGCAACTTGGCAATGTAACATTACATGGCCAGAAATGGTAGAGCAGGGGTCTAACTCCAAAGTTCTGTGCTAGTTACTTTACAAACATTATCTCTAGTCCTCCCCCAGTCCCATAAAGTGTAGCAACCCCATTTTGCAGATGAGGAAATTGAGGCTGGGAGAGTAAGTAAAACACATGGGGTCACACAGCTAGAAATTGTCAAAGCTAGGACTACATCCAGGTCTGTGGGACTCCAGAACAAAGGCTATATTCTGCTGCTGAGCACTGTTGGGATTACTGGGTTTCCTGAGCTCCACAAAAGTTCTCAACCCCATTTCTTCCTTTTTGACAGGCTCTGGCTGGGCCTTGACCTTCACTCCGACCCTGGCCTGCCTGTCCCGTTACTTCTCTCGCCGTCGATCCCTGGCCACAGGGCTGGCACTGACAGGAGTGGGCCTCTCCTCTTTTGCATTTGCCCCCCTCTTCCAGTGGTTACTCAACTACTATGCCTGGCGGGGGGCTCTACTGCTCGTATCTGCCCTCTCCCTCCACCTGGTGGCATGTGGTGCTCTCCTCCGCCCACTATCCCTGACTGAGGACACAGTTATGGGTGGCCCTGCAGCCCAACTCACCTCCCTCCTCCATCATGGCCCCTTCCTCCGTTACACTGTTGCCCTAACCCTGATCAACACTGGCTACTTCATACCCTATATCCACCTGGTGGCCCATCTCCAAGACCTGGATTGGGACCCACTACCTGCTGCCTTTCTACTCTCTGTGGCTGCTATTTCTGACCTTGTAGGGCGTGTGGTCTCTGGGTGGCTGGGAGATGCAGTCCCAGGGCCTGTGACACGGCTTCTGATGCTTTGGACCACCCTGACTGGGGTATCACTGACCCTGTTCCCTGTGGCTCAGGCTCCCACAGCCCTGGTGGTTCTGGCTGTGGCCTATGGCTTCACATCAGGAGCCCTGACCCCAGTGGCCTTCTCCGTGCTGCCTGAACTGGTGGGGACTGGAAGGATTTACTGTGGCCTAGGACTGGTGCAGATGGTAGAGAGCATCGGGGGGCTACTGGGGGCTCCTCTGTCAGGTAAGGGGAATGGGGTTGCCAGGTGGGCAAGGGCTGCCATGTTGCACAGTTGGGGGAAGGAACTATTCCCATCATGTGTATGTGAATATTGTCCTCTGGTATGGTACAGTTCACAGCCTGCATGACCAATCATAGCAGACTTGATGTGGGTCCATAGGGTAGAGAAATTGGGGCTGGGAAGTTCTAACTGGAAAGACAAAGAGGAGTTAAGTGGAAATCTTGGTATGGAGCTAACAGCCTGGGTTTTCAGAGGATATGGCCAGATCTGGATCTATATAACATTCCAGTGTCTTCCATTTTCCTTTGTCTTACTGGGCCCCAGGCCATGTGTCTGAGTACTCTGGTCAAAGTACTCCAGGCTCAAGATTCAGGAACCTTATGACTTTAACATTCCCTCTTAACTATTAACTGAAGATGTGGAACTGCTACAATTGCCAGAAAGAAACCTACAGGTATGCCTGACATAATCTGGCTTATCAAATCTTCACGGGCTGGTTTGGAGATCCTTTCTAAAGGCACACAGGTGGTTAAAATTACCTTTGAGGCCCTTAGGGAAAATAGAATTCTCACATTCATCTGGTCTACCTTGGGAGTTTTGATTCCTCTAACATTATGCACCTTTCCTTCCTGCAAAAAAGGGGTCTGAGGGCTGGGGATGTGGCTCAAGCGGTAGCGCACTTGCCTGGCCTGTGTGCGGCCCGGGTTCAATCCTCAGCACCACATGCAAACAAAGATGTTGTGTCCACCGAAAAACTAAAAAATAAATATTAAAAAAAAAGTTTTTAAAAAAGGGGGGGGGGGTCTAAGCTGTCAGCCCCAGTGAACAGATCACCCATGTGTATTCTTTTTCTCTCTTGGATCTAGGCTACCTCCGAGATGTGACAGGCAACTACACAGCTTCTTTTGTGGTGGCTGGGACCTTCCTTCTTGCAGGGAGTGCAGTTCTAATCACTCTGCCCCACTTCTTCTCCTGCTTTTCAACTCCGACTACCAGGCCTCAGGACCTTGTAATAGAGGCAGTGGATACCAAAGTCCCCCTGCCCACAAAGGAGGGGCTGGGAGAGGACTGAATTCCACTAAGAGATAGTCCCCAAAAGCCAGATCTTGACAGCTCCAGATTTTCTCCTACCCAAAGGAGGCATCCACAGAACCACAGTGCCTTAAGATTCTTGATCTTTCTCGCCCCAGAGCAGTCCTGGGACTCCTCCGATGTGTGTGCCAACCCTTGGTATTTTGCTGAGGACTCACATTTCTTCTCATTTGCTCTCCCAACCTTTTCTGAAGGATCCAGAGATCCTACTCCATTAAGCTGTGAATCAACTGAAAATCAAAGACCAAGAGACTTCTCATGTTTTACATGTGAACTCTAGTGTCCTCCTAAGTGTCCTCTCTGAAGACAGATGTTTGAGAAGCAAAGGTGTCTGTTTGAGATAAAACTGAATAAGGAAACCGGACAATAATTGTAACCTCAAAAAGAACCAGGGCCCATGTGTGGGTTGGCTTATGAAATCAGGGCAGGGGAGGGGAGGTGTCCAGGAGCTGTGATGATCCTGAGTTCCTCCCTCCTGTCCACTTACCTACCTCTTCCCCACCTGGGGCTTAGAAATTAAGGGAATGGTTAAATCACAGAGTGTATGTGTGTGGGAGGGTAGCTTGTTTAGGAGGGGGAAAAAAGGCTGATAGAGCTGAAGTTTGGACCTAGGATTCTCATATTTTCCAGGAAAATAAAAGGAGATTGAAATGCTGGAACTGTTCCGCCAGGTCTGGATATTCAAGGTAAATGAAAATGGAGCAGGTGGCATCCATAAGCATCTTTTCCCCCACCCCAGCCCACAACAAACTGAAACTGCAGACAACTTCTCAAAGACTCCCTGTTATGGCAAGGATTTGGGCAAAGAGGAATGGACTGATTGGATAGCTAAACACCCTTCCCCACCCCCAACTGGGGTCCTGTTTTTTTCAAAAGCCTTTTGGGATATCTTAAAGTAGAATATTTTCAGGCTTCTAGGATGGCCAACAGTTGGAGCTTTCAGAAAAATCAAATAAAAATTATTTATTGGGGGAGGGGTTTAAACAAGAAAATGATCAACAAGTGGTGTCCAGAGTGGAGTGAGGGCCTCCTGGGGGTGGCAAGGCAACCTGGGGCACCGGAAGCAGCTCCCCTCTCTCAGGGGGAGGGGTAGCTGGAGGTGAGGTTGGACGACAGGAGGGGAGGGCCCTGGGTAGCCCCAAATAGATGAAGCTGCCGGAGAGGATGAAAGAGCCACAGACGAGGAAAGAAGCGGTGAAGTTTCCTGTCTCATCCCTTAGGAAGCCTGAGAAGAGGGGTAAAGGAATTTAGAGGTCTTGCACCCCAAGGGCAGAGGACGGTTGGGAGTGGATCTGCTGGTTCAGGCCCTTACCTGACAGGGGAGGGCCCAGGAGTCCCCCGAGGCTCATCAGCATCATCACCAGCCCAGTGGCCTGCACCACACCTCCGATGCCCACCAGCCCCGGGAGCACACCAAACACTAGGGGGGCATAACTTCCAGCGCTAAGCCCGTAGGCCCCAGCTGCAGCCAGCAGGGGGCCCCCCCAGTCATCTTCGCTCCCCACAGCCGGCACCAGTCCCACTGCCAGCAGCCCCAGCCCTGTCAGAGCTCCAAACAGTGCCAGCAGCCGCGGAAGGGGCACCCAGCCCTGGTCCGCCAGCCACCCACAGACCAGTCGGGCACCCGAATCCCCCACTGCAGCCATGGCCACCACCAGAGCTGCCCCGTATCCCCCCAGGCCTCGGTCTAAAGCGTGTGGGGCCAAGTGCACGTAGGGGACGAAGTACCCACCCCCAATCAGAGCTGTACCCAGAGCAAAAACTGAGAAGGCCTGACGCTTGAAGAGACCCAAGCCGAGGGCAGCTAGGGGGTTGAGGGGTGGAGCCTCGGGGTCGCCAGGGAGGGACAGGGGTCGCAGCAGGGCGCCACAAGGGGTGAGGTGGAGTGTGACAGCGCCAAGGAGGAGCAGAGCGCCCCTCCAGCCGAAAGCGTCAAGGAGGAACTGCAAGGCAGGCGCCAGAAGCAGGGAGGAAACCCCGTTGCCAGTGAGTGCTAGTCCCACAGCCAAGACCCGACGGCGAGAGAAGTAACGGGAGAGGGTACCGAGGGCAGGGGCAAACACCAGAGCCCAGCCAGCGCCTGCGAATAGATAAAGTGAGATTAAGGCAGGTTCCAGGGATGCCTGTCCCAGCATTCCCAGCCGTGCTTCTAGCAGAAGCCACCCCCCCACCTCATTCGTTAACCCAACTCCCAAGAAAGTCCTATCCCCACCATCACCCCTGATCATCACCCCGGGTCATGCCACTCCCCTCACCGGCGAGGAGGCCCAGGCCGAGGTAGAGGTGCAGCAGGCTTCGGGCGAAAGCCGATAAGACGAAACCCAGCGAAGTAAGGACTCCCCCAACCATCACCACCGGGCGCGCCCCCCAGCGTGTGCTCAGAGCGCTGCCCACTGGGCCTAAAAGGGGTCGAAATCAACGGAAGACACGCTCCTGGACCCCCAAACTCTCTGCAACACTTCTCATTGGCTATTTGCTTGGCCTCACACTCCTCCCTGGGTCTAATAGCTCCTCCCCTTGACCTCAAGTCCCACTCTTTTCTAGAACTTGGTTTCAATAATCAGTCGCTCATTCTCAAGTTGTCTAGTAATTAATTGGATCTCCCATCACTATACTCACAGTTCCTACACCCCCTTCCCACCCCCCACCTTGGGCCCTCCCTCACTGGCTGCTTGCTGCATGGCCAAGGCCAGGGCGCTGACCCACGCAGTGTCCTGGGCGCTTCGGTCAAAATGCTCGGCGAGGTCAGGGAGAGCAAGGCCCAGGGAGCGTAAGAGCCCGTAGGAGAGCCCATTCACCGCGAAGGCCGCGGCCGCCACCACCCAGCCCCAGCCCCCGTCCGGGGGTCCGGGCGGCTTGGGGGTCATCACCGTCTGTGGGGGTGGGGAAACAACTGTGAGTGAGGTCTCTGCTCCTGAGCGTCCTCTTAGGAGCTAGCATTACTGAGATCCGTTCTCGGGCTGCTCTCCCAGGGTGGGCACGTCACCCAGAGCGTGGGTGAGGGAACCAGGCCTAGGGACAGAACTCCTGGGTGCTCGTGGGGTACCGGGTTGCGGAACAGCTGGATCCCCCAAGCCGCGGGCTCTCCCTCCCACACACCCCTTTCGCCTTACCCGACCTCTCTAAGCGGTGGGGGGAGGGGAAGGCTCCACCGGGTTTTCTCCCCGCTTCCCGGGCGGGCGGGGCCCGGGAGTGGAGCGACTGCAGAGATGGAGCCCAACTTGAACAGGTTCTCTCCGTAAACAGAGATCACCACAGGGGCCTGAGCCACCTGGGACGCGGAGGGGTACCGAGGGCGGGGGCAGGCTGAGACTGTCAGCCAATCCGCCAAGCCGCGGGTGAGGCCAGACTCTGAGTCCCACGGGGATTGAATTATCCACACACAACCCCCAGCCCCCGATAGGGAGCGGCCAGGAATGGATGTGGCCTCGCCCCGCCCCTCCCGGCTCACGCCCACGCACCTGCCACCAGCTGCGCACAGAGGAGACGCGTGGATTGCAAATCCTTCGCAAACTCAGGGGCAGCTGATCACGCATGAAAATAGGGATGGTCCCCGAAGCCTAAGGAAACGAGTAGTTAGTTCTGTTCACCCAAACGTTGCTGAGGATCCAGTAAATCTAGGATATCACATTGACCTCCAGTGGGTGCCTGCTTCGTGCTCAACAAGGGCATGCCCTCAAGGAGGAAGAGAAAGGAGAGGACTCCTTAAGATGAGGACCAATGGTATGCCATGCACTTTTTACATGTTATCGTTTCATCCTTACAATAACCCTATGAAAAAACTGCCATCCCGGTTTTACTGTTGCAGTAACTGAGGCTCAGAGAGGTTAGGTGATTAGTCCCAAATCACTCAACTAAAAAAAGCAAAAAAAAAAAAAAAAAAAAAAAGGGGGGGGGGGGCGGGGAATATTTGAATTTGGATCTGTCTAAATTGTGGGAACCATACGAGAAGAACAGACATAGGAGTGAAACAGAACCTGCCACGGTTGAGAAAAATATCCTGGAGATAATTTGATGCAAATTACCCTGGAAAGAGCAGAACCTTCGCAGGGCCAGAGAATTTATGATTCTAAAATAAGGGCGTCTGGGAATAAAAGAGATCTTTGCCATCAGGAGCTCTAAAGAAAGAGCCTAGAATTTTAAAAGCAAAGAGATGAGAGAATTGAACCCAACTATTGATTTCTTGAAAAACTATATAATAAGCATTCTTTTTTAACAGGTCAGGGTTGTATTACTTCAGCTGTTTGAATCAAAAGATGTGTTCTTTGGTTTAATTATTAAACAATACCATTGAAAATTCAGCAACTTGCAGATTGTAGCCTGCATCAACCTATAACCACATGGTGGCAGTGTTTCCTAATTGCTGAGAAAGTGCCTGTAAGGAAAAGAAAAACAACTGCCTTAAGTTGTGAGACTGTAAACCTTAAAAAAACAGAATGACCTTCAACGACTCTCCATTGCTTATAGGGGGAAAAATCAAATTCCTCTATTTTATGTATAAGACTCTTCATAATAATCAAAGGTGTATCTGTCTAAGTTATTTTTCCATTACAGATCCCTCCTCAAGCCTTACTTGCTCCCACCTGCCCTTAGCTACTTACCTGCTCCACGGACATTCCTAGCCTTTTCTCACTCACTTCTGGATTTTGGCATATGTCATGCATCTGTTTGAAATGTTCTGAATGGGGTACAAGAGTCTATGAAGGTTTAAAGTCCTGCCACAGACACCTTGGGAAAGTGGCCCTACCGGTTTTCCCAGCTGGTGGGAGTGCTGTTATGAAAGCCACCAGGATGGTGGAGCCTGCAAGTCCTCAAGCCACTCAGGAGGGCAGGAAGCATGCTTCCTAAGAAGGTTTGTGAGGACTCTACTGTAAGATAAATGAAACCAATTGAAACAGTAGTCTCCTAAGGTGAAGTAGAAAGAAGACCGGGGCCTCTGAGTCTGGGAGGAAAGCTAAGCACTTAAGTATGATGCTTATGAACTCAGAAGGGCATCCCAGAACCTGGAAGTGGGGTGATTTGTTATGAAAAGGCACATTCCTCTTCTACCTCACATTTCCTATATTCTTAGCTGAAATTACTGTCTGTTGCTCATGGAGGTAATTTATATAGCATAGAAATTGAAAGGGTGGAGCCCTAATTTAGATGTTCTGGGTTCGAATACTGTTCTACCACTTCTCAGTTATTTGGTTGTAAGCACGTTGCTCTACCACACTGTGCTGGTTTTCTCATTTCTAAAAATGGCATAATAATAGAAGCTACCTAATAGGGTTGTTATGAAAATTAAATGAGGGCTGGGGGTCTAGCTCAGTGGCAGGGCACTTGCCTAGCAGGTGCAAGGTCCTGAGTTCAGTCCTCAGTCACACACGCACACACACATACACACATAAAATTCAATAAAATGAGTCACTGTATGTACATGTATAAGTAAGTGACATGATCCTTGAATATATGTTAGCCCCCAGTGCTGCTGCTGGGACTCAGGGGAGCTAGGTTAGGCTCTCCTGGTACTCCTGCCCTTTCTCCACCTGGCTGCTTCCACCAGTGGTCAAGGAACCCCATTAGTCTGGTGAGTTCTCAATAGAATCATGTGGGTTATAAAATGTGAATGTCTATTAAGAGACTAAGTAGAAATTTTTGTTCTTTTTCTTTGTGGCGTTTTGTTTAGTGTTTCCCAAAGTTTATGAGAAAATGGTGGTCTCCTTATTACAACTCTATAAAAAAAAAGAAAGGAAGAGTAAAAAAGAAAAGTCTGACTTATTATTTTACACCAAATATTTATAGACACCTCTCATGCCTGGAACAGTGCATAAAACTGGGGACGGACACACACACACACACACACACACACACACATATATATATATATATATATGATACATTCTCTCTTCCCACAGCTGCCAAATCAAATCAGAGAAACAGTCACATAAAGAAAAGAAATGCCAGCACCAGGAGAGGGACATAGACATGCAGAGTGGTGCATGGGAGGAACTGACTCACTCAGCTTGGGCCTGCTGGGAGGCCTCACAGAAGAGGAGCCCTTGAGTTGGGTATTGAAGGATGAGTAGGAGTTTGCCAGATGGATGTGTGGGTAGGGGCATCCCAGGCAAAGGGAGCAGCCTGTGGAAAATCACAAAGGCATGAAGTAGCTTGGCACATTGTTTATTGTTTGGGGAGCTGTAAATAGCTGCTGTGTAGAGAACAGACAGTGTGTAGGAGAAAAATGTTAGATGAAGATATAGGGGCAGAGGTCCTGTCTAAAAGGCCTTGAAGGCCAAATAAAAGAATTTAAATGTTTTGGTGTTTTTTTTAACTGCTACTTCCCACAAATTTCCACAGAAGTAGCATTCACAAGTATTAGACACTGGATGCAGAGGAGAGAGGACTTAGCCACAGTTGGAGGCGAAAGAGAACCTCAGTGACAAGACTTTTGTGTGGGGGAAATTTCTTTGAAATATCTTGTTTTATGTTAAAAATTCATGTGGTATTTTGCATTTTACTTTATAATAATCTTTGGTGCATGTTTTCATAGGAAAAATCATGCTCTAAATGACTCGATAAATTTACTATTTTCTTCTTAAGTCTTCAAGCAAAGATATAATGCTCCGGGAAGATGTACATACTTGTTCCAAGATTTCGATTCTCCTGCACTCCTAATCTGCCTTGTTAACCTCCATCAGAAAATTTCTAGTCGGCAGTGAAATTGCTCATTTTTGTCCTCTAGTTTTCATTCCTATGTCATTCCTACACCATGAGGCCCTGGAGGGGCCTTATATAAATTGTAAATTATATAAATTATAATTATATTTATATAAATTATAAATCTCTGGATCTCTTTCACATCCAAAGATAAAATTGTTAAGTGATCTTTGTTGAATGATTTAACAAAGGTGAGTGATAAATTATTGGATGAGAGAAACACCCAGCAAAAGAATCATTGAATGAGTGAACTTGGTGCCTGGTATTCCAACAGCATGTGGCAATATCATATGAAAGAGTGGCTGGCTGATGGACCCAATTAGTAATGCCTGCTTAGGTGAAGAAAACCCCAAAAGCAGATGCTGAACCAGAGGAGTCTTTAGAAAGATCATAAGAGAAGATCAAGGAATGTATGGACACGATTTGTTTTGGGGACATGGGATCCGGGAGTGTGTCTATAGTTTGTCAACTACAAAATGACCCTGAAGCTTCCCATGAGAACCCCTGCAGGAGGCTCTTGGGACTTCTGGGGCCTGCAACCTCAGGGAAGCTCTGTGCTGAGCTTAGCTATTCCTGGGTACACCCACCAGGGAGCTCTCTCTATATAAGTGGATAGAAAAGGCAGGGGTGGCGGGGATGGGGATTTCCAGGCAAGATTGGATGGCGTCACCCACAGGAAACATTGCCATACTTGAGGTCCTTTGTTCCAGTGTTTGATTTAGTTGATCTTAGAGCTTCTAAGATCAAACAGAGCTGCCTCTCACTGGGTCACTTCCCAGGACCTTCTCCTTCCCCAGTTCACCCAGAGACCAAGCCAAAAGAAGTCAGCACAGATCTCAATGTCCAAACCCAGGGCCTGGAAGAATGAGGAAAGAACATAACCTGAGAAGGTTATAAGGACACAGAACTCGGTGTGTATGGATAAGGGAGATGAGTAATGGGTAACCCAGAGTCATTGTTGAGATGGGTAATGAAGCAAGAAGGTGGTGGGGCTCATGGTGTATAGGAACAAGTCCATTTGGATGACCACACCAATTGAGTGAATGGAGAACCAAGCTGAATCCCCTGAGCCTTGAGCTGGGACTTGGCTGAACCTGGGGCTGTAGGGAGCTAGTGATGGAGTTGGGGTTGGCCCAGATGAGGCAGCTGAGGGTAGAACTAGGTTGGAGCCAAGACCTAGGATAGGATGGGAGTCCTACACCACCTGACTCCCCTTTCACCCTCTCTATCAAATCTGTCTCCATTGCTACTTTCAATCCCAGCCTTCCCTTCTTCACCCTACCACCAGCCTCCCATTGCTGTTACATACTGAGGGGCTGTCTAGAGGCTCCAATGCCTGGATGTCTCAAGAAAATCCAGTCTCTGCACAAATGTATTATCTAGCATATTCTGGGACTTTGGCCAATGTCTACGTCAAATTTTTCAGTTGGAATCCATAGGCAGAAACTCTGGTCTATTTAAGGAAAGAAATTATTTATTGCAGAATATTGGTTAGCTCACGAAATTACCAAGAAGGCAGCAGAACTAGGTTTGGCAGAAGCACAAACTGGCACAACCCATGTGGGCTGCTAAAGCCATTGCTGGAACACTAGATGTCGCTGCTGGCAGCCCTCTGTACCCACTGGGCCTAGAGACTGCTGTGGCTGCTCAGAAATATTTTCTTTTTTGAATCACTATTTCCCAAATCCAAGTCTAGGGCCGTGATCCTGACCACTTGGTCCTCTCTTGGTCCTCTCTCATCCTCACTGGAATGGGCATCAGAAAAGCAAGCACCCGGTATTTTCACTGTCTGCAGCAAATGGGTTCTGCCACAAAAATAACAAGGTGAAGCCAGGCCTGATGGCACATGCCTGAGTTCTGAAGTTCCAGCTACTCAGGAGGCTGAGGCAGGAGGATTGCTTGAGCTCAGGAGTTTAAGGACAGCCTAAACGACATAGTGAGGTCCTCCCTGTCTTTAAAAAATAATAAGGTGTGGAGTTTCTTTTCTTTTTCTTTTTTTTTTCTTTTTTTTTTTTTTTTTTTTGGTGGGGTAGGAGGTACTAGGGATTGAATCCAGAGGTGCTTAACCACTGAGCTACATCCCCAGACCTTTTAAATATTTTATTTAGACATAGTGTCTTGCCAAGTTGCTTAGGGGCCTTGCAGAGTTACTGAGGCTGGCTTTGAACTTGTGATCCTCATGCCTCAGTCTCTCTAGCTGCTGGGATTACATGTGTGCGCCACAGAGTTCAGCCCTTTATCCTTTCTTGATGTGGGAGAGGCAGACAAGACAGGGTCAGGGGATAATGTCTGTCATTTTCCCTCTGCTGTACCCAATCTTTCAGCTACCTCTTAGTAGCTGGGTCCCCAGAAAGGCCTATTTTTCTTCCTGATCCCAACCTGGGACCTCAGCATCAGACTTGAAAGACTTGTCCTCTTAGAGAATATGCTGGTTAACCCCTAAACCTACTCTTAGGGCCGCAGTAGCCCTGCCAGGCCAGAATCTCCGCTGAGTAGTGTCAAACAGATCCAGAAGCCAAAGTGGGAGGGGACCAGGAGTCAAATGATAGGTTTTCCTGTAGCTGTAGGAGTGTAAAGTAGATATCCTGGGAGGATCTAGCAAATACAAGGTAGAGCTGAAGATGTAGCTCAGTAGTAGAGCACCTGCCTAGCTAGATAAGACCCTGGGTTTGATCCCCACACAGCAAAAATCTAATAATAATAATAATCACATACACAAGGCAGAGTTTTCAGGAGCAAGGAAGCTAAAATTGCATATTTTCTTCATCCAGGCAGAAATACCTAAGGCAGAGTCGGGTGCTGGCTAACTAAGCTTTGGGAAAGTCCCAAAGCCACTGGCAGGTTCATGAACTGGAATCTGTGGCTAACTGCTGCCAGCACCACACACAAACCTCTTGTCCTTAAACAGGGTGGCTCTTTTCCCTCTCAATGCACTCACTTCTGAACAGAGTGCCTCTCATCTGCCCTTGCCCAAATTCAACGTCATTTCCTCTGCAAAGCCTTCTGCCTCTCCCCTACTTGTGAAGTATTTTAAATCCTGGCAGCATATCTTCCTAAAAGTTCCTTCTCTCTGTCCCATTCAGGCAAATAGCTCATCACAGTTCTTTCCTCCATTCATAACTGAGTGTCCACTGCAATGGGATTCACCCTAATTTAAAACACATTTGTGAAGATATGGTGTCACCGAGGGAAGTTACACCTGCATAGGTCTACAGAGAGGTGAGTTACCTTGAGCACCTCACCAGCTGGTTGCTAGGAGGAGCCTCCTGATTTATGGATAATGAGCTTACCCCTCCCTGGACCCAGGGATCTGGGAGGTAGGAAGTTGGGCCTCCAGAGCAGAGGATCCAGGACCAAGACCAGAAAGTGCTGGGAGCACCAAGCAGCGGAGCAGGTGAAGAGCCAAGTCTGAGCTCCACAAGACAGAAAGCCTGGCAGATCTTAGCCTGGCTTCGGTTTTCTGAGTTTATTTCCTTGTTGCCCTTAAGGAGAACTGACTGACCCCTGAATAGGCAGGACTTAGGCTCATTCTTTCCACATGCTTACAGAAATACTTGAGCCATGAAAAGGTCAATAGACTCCAAAACACAAAAAGAAAAAGTGAAACTAAAATGTTTAAATGAGTCTCTACAAAACAAAATATTAATCAACTTCCATGTTTTTAAATTTGTATTCTATTGGAAAACAATCTGTAAGTTGATTTTTTTTTCTCACCGCTCAAGACTTCCTAAATATCCATCATAATTGCTATGAAATCACAGTCAATCATAGATTCAGTGAGCTCCTTATAGATAGACATTTTTAAAAAAAATAAACATTTTTAAAAATCTTAATGGAAAAATATATTATATTGACTATAATATATAATAATATATTGAGTGTGAAACGTGGGTGTGTCACGAGCCATCTGTGGACTGTGTGTGGACTGTTGTGCATAGTAGCCTCCTGAGGGGATAAGTCTGGCATTGGGAACTCCCCGTGGCACCCCCCACAGGGACTGACTGCCTGATGCAGGTGAACTTCTTTCCCCCTCAGCTCTGCCAGAGATCCCATACAGCACCTGAGATGGGTGTGACCTGCCAAGATATCAATCAACCTGCTGACCATAAGACTCTGCCCTTGAAACCTTATCCCTGCCTTTGATGTACCCTCTTAAATAAACCACCAGAGCCATTTTATCTTTTGTCTAATTAGAGAACCTATGTGGACTAGATCTATCAGGGGCTTCACTTTCTGTAAATATATTTTTGAGTATTTGTGCTTCGTTATTTACTAATCATCTGAAATTGTAAGTCTTAGGGTGACTTGGATTATTTTGGGCAGGAAGAAAGACCCCCTTAATGAGATGCTGGCCACTGTCATCCCCCCATCCCCCATATGGGTGTATTTTTTTTTTTTTACCATATGGGTGTATTTTAACACACTCAGTACTGAGACGTAATAGCAAGGTCGTAAGAACATGAACTCTGGGACAAGGCAGCCTGACTTGAAGTTCTGGCTTTGCCACTTACTAGCTATCTGACTTAGAGCAGATGATTTAACCACTCTGGGCAATGATTCCCTCACCTATAAAAAAGATGATGATGATTATGATGATGATGATAGTTCCTAGGAGTTATAATAGTCCTAATAGTTTCTGAAACACAAAGATGACGATAATTTCTATGGTCTGAAAATTGTGACTCCCCGAAATTCATGTTAAAAATCTAATCTCCAATGCAAAAGTAATAAAATATGGCAACCTTTAGGAAGTTATTAGGTGGAATCTCCAAAAGTGGAGTTGTGCCCTTATAAGAGGTTCAGGGAAGGGCTGAGGTTGTGACTCAGCGGTAGAGCGCTCGCCTCACACGTGTGAGACCCTGGATTCGATCCTCAGCACCACAGAAGAATAAATAAGTGAAATAAAGGTATTGTGTCCAACTACAACAAAAAAATAAAAAAGGTTCAGGGAAGCTCATTCATCCCTCCTGCCATGTGAAGACACAGAAAGAAGGAACTATCCATCACTCAGAGAGCACGCCCTACCAGACACTGAATCTGTTTGCTTCCTAGCCTACAGAATTGTGAGCTATAAGTTTCTATTGTTTATAAACTGTTCAGCCTAAGGTATATTGCTCTAGCTGCTTGAATGGACTGAGACAGTGACCATAGCTTGTTACTATGAAAAGAATATCTTAAGGTTGTATGAAGATTACATGAGTTAATGTTTATAAATTTTTTGGAACAATTTCTGGCAAGAAGTAAGCACTATTTAAGATTTATTAGTTTGTTTATATAAATAAACAAATATAAGAGAGTTTTGGAACCCTGAGTGTTTTGTTTAAGTCTTTAAGAAGGTTACATCCAAGTTCACCTGGCCGGTGAAACTATGCAGAGTAATCTATGCAGAATTTGGCACAGCTATGGGAGGAATCAGGTAAACTTGTATTTTCAGCTTAGAGGCAGAACACAAAAGGCCCCAAGGGAAAGGAAAATTCAGGCACTATGGAAAGCTACCGAGTTTTTGTTTGTGTCTCCTGCCCAGGTTAGCCTATGAAGTCTCCAGGTTTGGTTTTATTAAGAAAGCTGTCACTCGAACTACTCCCAAATCTAATTGTCCATTTGAACACTGCTGGACTCCAGCAGTCTCTGGCTGTGCTGACAACCCCCTCCCTACATGACACATACACCTTAACTGTTTCTCTCCAACCTTTGACTGTCTTACTCTCCTCTGTGTTTTTTTTGTCTCTGATGATGAATCCAACTTACCAGGATCCCATCCAGTTGCAGGTGGTGGTGAGAGGACTGGCTGTGTCCAGAAGGCTCTGTGGTATGCTGGTCCTATCAGCCCCAGAATGAAGGGAAGACTAATATGGATTAGATGTGGTTGTCTCTAAAGGCCAGTGACTTGGTCCCCAGTATGGTGGTGTTAAGGGGATGGGACATTTAAGAAGTGGAGCCTACTGGAGGCATGTCCACAGAAGGGACTATAAGAACCAAACCTCTCAGGCTTTCTATGTGGCAATGTGATCTTTCCCTTGATGTGATCTCTCTCATACACACATGTGCTCCTGCCATCCACTGAGGTCCTTAGCAGAGCCAAGACTTGAATCTCTAAAACTGAGCTAAATAAATCTCTTTATTTATAAAGTTAGCCTTCCTCAGATTTTTTTTATAGTAACAACAAAAAAATGAATTAATACAAAGAGACCACACTGGCTTTGAGTCACAAGCCTTTCAGGAGAACATAATCGATGTGCTTAATGGCAGCATAAACCACATCATTTGCTAAGATATTTATGGCTGCAAGTAACAAAAGAATATAACTTAGCTTGACTTAAACAATAATAAAAAAATATCATCTCATATCTTAATCTGTCTAGGCTACTATAAGACAGTACTATAAGCTGAGTAGCTTATAAACAATAGAAATATATTTCTCACAGTTCTGAAGGCTGATAAAATCCAAGATCAAAAGACCAAAAGATTAGGTGTTTGGCAAGGGCTCATTTCCAAGTTCAAAGATGTCTTCTTGTAACCAGAACCCAGTGCTTGGCCCCAATGCCAATTAATGCCCGTTTAATAATGAGGACATGGTTTTGAGAAAAAGGAAAAAGAGATTTTATTGCTTTGCTAGCAAAGGAGAAACACAGGAGACTTCTGTCCCAGAGGCTGTAAATTCTGCCCATTAGGAGGAACAGGGGGGTTTTAAAGGAACTCTTCATTCCAGTGTGCTCTGGTAAGGGGATCCCAGGGTCCAGTGTCCCTGTCTGCCTCTCTCACCCCTGCTCCACATTCCACGTTGGTGGTGGAAATGGAGTTCCTCTGTATGGAGTAAGCTAGCAGCAAAAATAAAGCTAAGAAAAAGAAGGCCATGAAAAGACCACACGACATGGAAGTAATTTTGAAAATCGGGAGCCTGCATTTGCTTTATTCTATGTGGGGAAACTTCAAAGGGTATCCATAGAATGTTCCTCACCAAGTAAGGCAGGAGGCGGTCTGTCCAAGCCCAACCCATACGCCCAACTCCAGAACTACAGAGTAGTTTTCCTGGCCAAGCAGAGACTTGGGTCATGTGCATTGCATAATCCATTAAGTAGGAGGGGCTGCCAAATAGCGCAAGGCCAGACCAAAATTTCCTTGGCTCAAGACTTCTCAAAGAGCTCAGGGGTGGCTCTCCACACCAGAGCAGCCTGATGGTGTGTTAGGATTCACTTGTTAATTTGGAAGATATTCACTTCCTAGATCCTCTGGCAGCATCTCCTTCCCGTGGAGCACAGATAACTCAAGGGAATCTCATTCCCCACCCCCAGGTTAGGGAGGGAGAGAGGGAGAAGAGGAAAAGGAGTACCCTTCCCTTTCAAAAATAAGCCTCAAGCTATTTTCAAAAGGTGAAGTGGACCACTGCTGTGTTCTCACTGTGATATCTTTTCTAACAACATTAATCCACCCACAAAATCTAATCCTAAAGACCCCACCTCAAAATATGTGGAGCTTTGGAATTTTACACATGAATTGTTTTTCTGATGGAGTTGGGGGATGGGACACAAGCATTCAGTCTATAGCATCTCAGACCTCAATACAACTAGAGGTGGGAATAGTCCAAAATTAGCTTATCACTGGCTCAGTAACAACATCAAGGAATCAGATTCTTCCCAGATTTTCCATGTATTACTCCATTGTTTTAACTTTTTCCTCTTAAAGTTGTGATATGTCTGCTGCAGTTTAAGATATTGGTGTAGGCTAACAATGGGTGGGTGTAAATGAGTACATCTCTTCCTCTGCATCCTCCTTAGCAATAAGGGTATCTTCCCCCACAGGTCCCAGAAAATGGCACCTCACCTGAGGCCAGAATTTTATCATATATGTAAGATTAAACCAGCCAAACTGACAAGGGGTGTGGAACCACCATGATTGTCCTGCCTCTGGGACTAGGCTGGAGCCAGCCTCACCTGAAGTACACAAAGATATGGAATAGAGGAGATTCCAAAATATTTGGAATTTCTTGTTATTTGGCCCTAAGTATTGGGCCAAATAACAAGAAGGAAAAAAAAATCGCAGTCCATGTTGCATAGAAAAATCAAGAGTAATTGCTAAACTGTCTGTGAACTCACAGCTGGTTCTTGAAGAGACTTAGGGAGGTTGGAAAACCAAAGATTACGATGGAAGGGTTCATTCCTGGGAAACTGGTGTTTTTGTTTATTACTATTGATGCAATTCGTTCTCTCTGATTTTTACCA